ACTTGAGGACCGGCAGGCTGCTGCGCGAGCTCAGCTTTGCCCACAACTCCGTCGACGGCCCGATACTGCCCAGCTTGTCGGAGCACGTCATCGTCCTGTCGAGGACTTCGGTCGGCGTCCGCGTCTTGGATACCGTCACGGGGAAGGAGCTTGCGAACGCCTCGCTGGTGCACACCAATCCGTCCTTCCTCGAGCACGGCCGCTGTCTGGCGACCGCCGACGCCAATGAGGATGCCTACGTCGCGTACATGACCACGGCTCGCGACCGCGTGTTCGTGAAGAGCTTGTCCACGGGCGAGGTCCTCTGGTCCAAGGACATATCCACCCCGGTCGTTGAGGCCCATGGCTTGGGCGGCGTGCGCATTGCAAAGTCCCAGAGGGAGGCCGAGGCCATTGGAAGGGGGGAGGATGCGGAGAACGCCTTGCTGGCTTTGGCCGATGGCAGTGACGATGACGACCCACCGCGCCAGCGGAGGGACGTCATTGTCGCCAGAGAGGGCGGCTATATGTACGCTATGCTGGCCGCGCCCGACGCTGATGCCGACGGCACAATGCCCATGTTCAGTGAGGCCGAGGAGATCGCGTCGGGAGGAAACTCGCGGAAGAGAGTCCAAAGGTACCGCATTTCGAATGACCGCGACTTGTCGTCGCTGTCGAGCACGGACCGTCTTCTAGGGCTAGGCCGCTTGCCGAGGCCGAGGCGCTCGGAAAGGGGCACGCGCCCGAAGGATGTCACGCTTGTTGTTACGTCTCGCGACGCGGGCCTTGCTTTCCTTGCCCTGCTTGTCGTTGGGATCGTCGGGTACAAGCTCGGGAGCAGGCCGCGCAGGCGCGACGCGCGGCGGAAGAAAGTGCGCAGAAGGAAGGATAGAGGCGTGTCTGATGAGCAAGCGGCTACGGGAGCATTGGGAAGTCAGCCTACAGGAAAGGACCGCGACGGTTCCGACACGGACCTGGATGAAGATATGGACGACGAGGACACGAGAGGTCTTCAGATTGGTCGCACAGATGACGGAGGAATTGCTAATCGACAGGATCTCATGCGAGAGTTTGAGCAGCCCATAGAGTCCTCGACGGGTAGCTCTGGTAGTGTGAACGGTGGTGGTTTCAACTCGAATCGAACGCAATCGGGCTGGATGTCGTTGGGATGCTTAAAAATCTCCGCAAAGGTTCTTGGCGTTGGATCGCACGGAACGGTTGTGTATGAGGGGGAAATGATGCCAGGAGGACGGAAAGTTGCCGTCAAGCGTCTGTTGCGGCAGTTCTTCGAATCAGCCCGCAAGGAGATTTCTTTGCTGGTTGAACTGGACGAAAAGTCGCCGCATGTCGTTCGTTATTTCGCAATGGAGGAAGACTCAGAGTTTATCTACTTGGCTCTTGAACTCTGTGCAGCATCTCTTGCTGAACGTGTGACACAACGGGGACCGCCTGTGCCTGCACCTCTTTATATTGGAGGGCCCCCTCCCGCGTATACCAGTCGCGCACTCAGACAACTCTTGCAGGGACTAGCGGATCTCCATCGCTTAGGTGTGGTTCACAGAGATGTCAAACCTCAAAACGTGCTCATTACAAGATCTGACGGGATAGGTGGAGATGTCAAGCTGGCCGATGTTGGCCTTGCCTTGAGGCTTGCCGCAAATCGTTCCAGTTATACTGCTGTTACTAATGCTGGCGGTGGTGTTGGGACGACAGGGTGGAGAGCGCCGGAGGTCCTCAGTGGCGGTCGTCAGACAAAGGCAGTAGATGTTTTTGCTGCTGGATGCATTGTTTCTTTCGTTCTTACGGGAGGAAACCATCCATTCGGGAATGCCATTTTTGGACGCGACGGCAATATCGCAGCTGGGAAGCCCTCTTTGGAAGCTCTTGAGGCCCTGCAGTTACCAGAAGCCACTGACATTGTTTCCAAGATGATTGATCCGGTAGCCGGGAACCGACCGTGTGCCGAAGACGCATTGCAACACCCGTTCTTTTGGACAGATGCAACAAAGCTATCATTCCTTGTAGATATCTCTGACAGACTATACGACACACGGCACGACCCAGCAAGGTACACAGAAAACTTCGACAGATATCCTCTGGCAAGGGAACACTGCAGTGATTGGCAGGTTAGAATGGATATGGAACTTCTCATGGGTCTCGGACGCGGCTACGAAAATACTGTGTCTGGTTTGTTACGCGTTATTCGCAACAAGCGCAACCACTATTCAGAACTTTCAGCGTCACTTCGTAAGCTTTTGGGGAAACTTCCAGAAGACAAGTACAGAACCGAGGCAATACTCCCACAGAATTCAAGCGCATCCGGTGACTCTACCGACTCCAATGATCCTGATGTTAACTTTTTAACTTACTTCACCATCAAAGTACCCCAACTCGTCATATGTACATACAAATACGCAGTTGAGAACCCCGTTTTGATCGACCAGCCCCATTTCCTAAGATATGGTCTCAAGGCCAAGATCTCAAGACAACCGCTGCCATTACATCCATTTGTTCGCAAAATACGGGAGAGTCGTGCCGCTGCAAGAATGCAAGCAGGAAGCAACAAGGGCGGGTCCAACTTGCACTACAATCAAACCGGAGACGGAAAGAAGTTGTTCGGGTATGACGACAACGAGTGGCCTGAACAAGATAATGATCTGGGGGACAGTGATGCTATCTTTCCAACGGAGCCGAATCGCATGTCATACAACCGACATGAGTTGGTTAATTTGCAGGCCTCGTGCATGAACCTGCACTCAGATATTCGGGAGCTATTGCAAGCCCGGGAGTTGTACCAACCGTCAGCTTACCAACGAAATCGGAAGCGTTTAGCGACCAATGTGTACGAAGATAGTGATTTTGATCCACCGCCTGGCAGGCCACAACCAGCAGTTAACGCGGATACGCCACCTGGCTTCACTCGTGTCATGCCACGAGGACGTAACCTGTATGGTTCCTCTCTATACGGCTCAAGGGCGTCTCCATTTGCTTCAAGCCCACCAGCCTCTCACCATTCTGGATTTGGCCCGTCCCACCCGCTCGGGTTTTCTGGAAACACCCCACCGGGCTTCTCTGGTACTGCCCCACCACCGCAAGCTGGCAACGGCCCACCGGGCTTCTCCAACAATGCTCCACCACCAACTTTCGGAAACCAAAATCCTAGCACAGTTGCGAACACAAACTCGCAGTATTCTAGGCGAAGCAACACTGCAAATATAATGCCAACTAGATCTCAATTTTCTGGAGAAGAACGCATTGTTGACTTTGGCGCTCTACGAAGGAGGAAGCAATAGCCTATTCACACATTTGTAACATTGGCAACCACTGTAAATCGAAACATTTCGCACAGTTCCCATCTTCTTTGGGATTGTGTTCCTATCGGGACTTAAGAGTCGCGTAATCGTACCCAATAATAATCAAAAACTAGATAAGCAAGTGTTGACAATAAGCTCATCTCAACATTTCAGCAGGATCATTCTTCACACTGATCCCGCTGTGTGACCGGAGCAAAAGCAAGGTCAGTTAGAGAAGAAGGTTTCTAGTATGCGCTCTCTCTCCTAGTCTAAGTACCGTTTCAAACAAACTGATTCCGACGAAACGCTGCCGTCTTCAGTGGCTGGTCATCGCAGCTAAGACTGTCGTCGCAGAGAGTCACGATACTTCAAAATAACAGCTGGCTTTGCGTCAGGTGGGCTCGGGGGATACAAATAGTCTACTACGATACGCTCAAGAGCATCTGGTTGTAAATCTTTTGAAACTGAGCTCACTCTGTAACGCACTATTCGCCGTCGGGCGTAGATGCTTGGGGGTTTCCCGAACCCCACAACTGCCCCATCACTATCAACGTCGACAACCCTTGCATACTCGCTTGCTGTGAATGTTCCGAACCCTTGCGGTCGGTCTTCAAAGGCGCGTTTAGTGACCTTCACCTCTTTTGTGAAGTTTGCACCCAGCTCTGAAGAATGCGCCACGCTCAAGACATTTGGGTTGTCTCTATCTCACGTCGCCAATATGAACTGTCTCGGGAAATCAATTGCTGCTTCTGCCTTCGCATTCGCTAAACGGTCTTCGATGACGTGGCCGCGATGGCGCGTAAATTTGAAAGTGAAGGATTGAGCAACTCCGATACGAGCCCTGGTATTCATGATTGCCTGCTTCCCTAGCGCCGAGTGTGAAGAGTCATTTTCCTTCCCCTCTGCCTCCAGGGAGCACAGGTTCCTGGTGATGCTCCATTGCCCTTCGTAATAATCGGGATAGTATATATCGGGCATGCCTGATCCAGGAATTTTCGATACAAGCTCCGACAGCTCCGAGTGCATGGAGCCAGACAGTGACGCTGCGAGCGCAACGAAAGGTGCGCGTAAGATGAATTCTCGGCGAGGAAAGGATGGTGCGGTGGACATTTGAGGTACCCTGCCAAAGTCGGATTGTCTCGGATTGCAAACACCTCGGGGGCGTCGTTTTAGCCATCCGCAGTTCAATAGTGCTCCAGCTACGAAGGCCGGGGATAAATTCATGGTCTTACCGGCGAAATGACCCAAAAGTGCCTCTGCCGCTGGAAGTGTTCTCTCAAAGCCAGGCTTCGCTCAACCCCTCCGTAGTTTCGCCGCACTATCGATCCCTAACGAGAAACTGCGGACTGTCGGAAACGGCTCTCGAAAGCAATGCATCTGTTCAATGCATACAGTATTTCCTGTTCAATGGTGAGGTACTCTTGGCCTCGACACGGAGATCAGACAGTGTGCACTTCATGCAATTTTTCGAAACAGCGAATTAAACTAATTCTCTGCCTCTCCATAGCCAGTAATTCACCAGGAGCACATTCTGTTCTGCGATGAACGTAGGTCCCTGCTTTATGCGCACGTGACAGCCCAGATGAAACAACAGAGTGCGTTGCATGCTTGAAGAAGTCTGTTTTCCTCCAAGAAAATGCCTCTTTCACGCGCAGAAGCCCGGAAATACGTCCGTGCTGAAAGGCAAGGCGCACCTCGCAATGCAACCAGAGAGCTTTCATTCGTTGAAAGGGCTTGCTTTTGCGAACAGTAAATGCTACATATTAGAAGTCGAGTGCATTATTACTTGGTCAATCTCGGACTGTTTAGTACAGAACTAAACTAATTCATTTTCCTGTGCGCCATACGCATTTCCATGAACGTATTGCATGTACAAACTCTCGTACAAATGCGCAGAGCACACAGGGAGATTTTGATATCATGGTGCAGTGGTACGCTGATAGTTCTGATGCGGCACGCAGGATGAAACGAGATGGGAAAAACAGGGAAAGATAAGGTTTGCCGGAGCCCGCAATGAGCTTGGGAGCGCAGGCGAGTCGATGGGCACGGTTCTGCCCTCCGCCCTCTGACAAGGAAGGAACTGCTTATGTCGGCCCCCAGCGGCGTGAACGGCCGCCTGAATGCTTCTGGCGCACGACTCTGGTCGGCCCCGGCTAGTAATTGAACCGCCTGAATCATCCTACTGTCCTGTCTCCTGGGACGGTTTTAGAAAATATGCTAAGGATCTAGATTTAGCTAACCACCTGCACCAGCCTTGCAGGCGGAACAAACAACCCAACCATATCCCCGCAGGATGTATTCGAATTACGTTTCTTTCGTCGGGGGCTCTGCTGCCAAGAAGTTCAATTAGGAGGCAGCGTTTGGAGGATACAAGATCTCAAGAAAGATCAATGCCATTGTATCAGATGCAGTGACAAAAGCGCGAAGAAAGTGCTGTACGTCGCCACAGAGGAGTACACTGCACTGGATGCGATAGATGTTGCTTTCTCCACTTCTGTCGATGACCCTCTATAGAGTGTCTATCCGACTGGGGCTCGTCCTCATATAATGACTGCTCTTTTTTTGCAAAATGTATAAATTAAATTGAACATTCAAAAAGATACCTTGAACACTATTTCCTTAACGCCTTTGTTTTCGGCAACAGCATCTCGCAGAACGCCGGGATAGCAGAGCTTTGAATACGCAGAAAAGTTAAGAAGGTATTGCAGATTGAGTACTTAGTTCCCTTTTTAAACCGGCGTTTTTGGTTTCGAAGTTATTTTGCATGCGGTTTTAAGGTGGTTTAAAAAAGCATCTTTTCCAGACATATCGAAAAACGACCAGGAAGGACATGCAATTCTCACAACGTTCTTCCCGGTCCGAAGGCAGAAGTCAGGTGCGGTGGCAGGGGTACCTTTTTCTTTCTTCTCGAGAAAGCGCAAGTGAAGAGAAAAAATATGTCGAAAAGTGTCCTCACATGAGAACAATGGTCTGATAGACCATAGAGGGACGAACTCCGCCTTAGCAGGCGAAGGAGGCACGATTGGGCCAGATCGGTTGGGGGCTCAGATCAAGATCGGGCGGACTCCAGAGGAGTGCTCAAATAGCAATCGAGTCTGATGCCATCACCTACCTAATGACAGCCAGATAGCCCTACTCGTGGAACTAATGTCGCAGTTGTACGATCAGGAGTATCAGGAGGCACATCTCGCTGACGTGATCCCTAACTATGCCGATGGGCACTTAGGGATGGTTGTAGAGTGCCTTCTGGAGCTCGGGCCATTGTCCAACGAGTGGTGGCCCCATGAGCTCATGGCGATAGAAGGGTGGGCGCAGGATACCATCGAGTCGGCTCCGGAAAGCAATGTCGTTGCCTGTAACCGCCCCTCGCGTAAGCAGATCCAGCTGTTAGTGACTCTCCTGGGAGGCCGCTGCAATACAATCAAGCTTGCGTTCGACTTAGAGATCCCGCGATTGTCGGACAAGGTGTGCGGCACTGCTAATGCTAACGCCATTTCCGGAGATCCAATCGCACTGGAGGACGAGGATACAGACTTATGTCGGACGACTCTCGACTGCTACGTCGATACGAACCGGCTACACAGCCAGTTTGTGGCAGCGATAGCGATGTTTCACCAGTGCACGCTTACCCCTGTGCCCGACACTGCCGAGGGGACGTGGGGCGTGGCTGAAGCGTAAGCGTGAGCTCGTCTTACCGAAGTTCAGTTCCTTCTGGGGCCAGTACAGGACGAATCTCGAGGGTGATGCGTTCGGGATCTGCAGTCCACGGAGGGATGTACAACGCGGAGAGTCTCTGGGCCCGCTACTTTGTGGAAGCGGACTACTTCTCGGACGACAGTGACATGGAGTACATCGGCCAGCATCGTACTGCAGATGCTTCAGCCGCAGAGTACTACAGTCGCGCGCCCATGATCACCGGGCACAAGGCGTACTGCCCCATGCTGGCGGGCTGCGGGCTCAGTATTTGGAGTGGTCTGCGAACGACGCGCTCTTGCTCCCAGTCGTTGTCACAGACTAATATCTACGGGAGCACAACGTGAAAGTCACTGAGGACGGAGCCTACTTGCGAGTAAACCACGTCCCGCCGCCAGCGTCACATATTTAGGTCCTTGGGCGTTTTCCCGCGCATGGCGGTTTCAAGGCGATGTCGGACACTACCACAGTAACCTGACACGCTTCGGTGACGGCTGGATGTTGCCCAACCTCATGGAGGCTTGGGGTATCGGAATGGACATGCGCTGTATACAGTAAGACGTAGGGATGTCGTACAGAGGGTGCAGGCGTGTGCGGAAGTGGGCCAGCAACTCGTCCCAAATCGCAGCGAGGCCGTTCAACATCAAAGGCCCGGATGTGTTGCCAGTCGAGGTCCTCTCCATAGAAGAGAGGGCACACCGCTGGGCGTTCATGCCGAGCCTCAACAAAGCCACCTCACGGTGGACAATTGATGTTAATGTTGAACCACGGTTTTCGATCTGAGGTACGGGCATGGGACGTGTGCGGCATACGGGGGTGTATGTCCCCTCTCGCGGTTCCCGCGCCGACGTGGTCCATCCCGCACCTGGCGATATCATCTATCTTCCCGTTTCTTACGAAACCCAGGCGCGCTGGGGGCCAAACTTTTAAACCATCAGTGCAACCATCCGTAGCAGTTCCCCCGACTGGAGCGGCGGCTCCGCCCGTGATGGCCGACCCTCCGGACGACACCTAGGGCGCAGACGAAGACTAAGGTGTATGGCTGCACCGCTGGCCCTGCTGCGTGCTTCTCCTGCGTTCGGAGGGTACGACTTCGCGGGCCTCAGGATGTTGAACTCACGCTAGTCCAGATCCGAGAAAGCGGAACGCAATTGAACGGCATTGTTGGGTATGCTAATGCCCACGGCGAAGTTGCATCTTGTGTTAAGCTGAATTGGCAGGACAAACTCTTTACGATGCTGTGCTTGACACTCTGACTGCCGCGATGCCGGTCTGTACTCAGCTGTGCGGGATCATGTTGTTGGCCGATGATAACTTCGCAGTCTACGGGACGGATCAATCTCGGCTGGACTATGCAAGGATGGTTTCGTTTGGTAATGAACGGGGTGGCGGCGTGCAAATAACTACTAGACACTTGCGAGCTGTGGTCGAGTGCTCTACCCATGACGCAGACGCGGGCAAGGGCCGGACTGCGTTCACCTTTCCGGAGACAAAAGGTGACAGGTCGTCATCACACGCACGTGACACCTTTCGAGGCTGTCGTTGCCGTACGGAGCGCAGAGCGCTTGAAGCTATTAGCCACTGTGCTGTCGGCACTGCACGCTGTCAACGCGAACGAGGCCATGTCGTCAGGGCTTCTAGTCTAGGCGGCAAACGCTGTCCCATGGGCCGTAGCAGCAATGCTCAAACACAGCTCAACGTGGAAAGTCAAATCGGATGAGGCGTGGGCGAAGGTGGCCAAGAGTGTTTCCCGGAGTATGAAGTCGCATCAGCACTACGCAGAGGAAGACCTCTCTGACCTTTTCGAGTTCCAGGTGACACTATCCGAGTCCCAGCTGCAGCGGTCCTCGAGGATAGGAGTTGGCTTCCGAGAGCATTCTCCTTGAGGAGCAGGAGTACCGCTTGAGAACATCACCAATAGTCGGGCAGCAATCAACGAATGTCATTAAGAAAAGAACGTGTTTCAAGGCAACTTTATAATAATTCGTTCATAGCCATAGTCGCCTCATAGTCGCCTCATGGCCGCCCCCCTTCAGCTCCGCAGACTGTTCAGAATGGGGAAAGCATGAAGGCTTTCTTGTCGAGGGTCATTGACACGTGGTAATGTCAGTTCACGAAGACTGTCTTGTTTCGGTCAGCACCGTCAACTGCCTGATTTATGCACAATCACATGTGTGGAAGAGTAAAGACGTGCAAATAGTTTGGTTATTGTCCGGTTTGCATTATCCCCTTTATAACTTGCTCCTGTTGCGCAAGCTTGTACAGTATGCCCCGTTTCGCATGCGCTTTAAAACCCGACTCCTCAACCCCATCCAATTAACATCGGTCTGCTGCTTGCTTTACATTCGACCTCTTATGGATAGATAATTGCACAAGTACATCTGGTCAGAGCTGTAATGCCAGATTGAATATTTCAGTAAAGCGCAGTACGCTATGAGTTACTTGCTTCTGGAGAGCTGGAATGTACCTGTACTTGAATAAAGCGAAGGCCATAAAACTGTAAGGGAGAGAATCCTGGATTCTTTTCTTATGCAAAACAACTCTTGTCATGTGACAGACATTGCATGAGGGCTTTCACACTTCTGTGACTGCTGTGATATTACGACAACAAGCGAATATCTACTTTTTCTGTTTCTTTGACTGCTTCTACCCGGCAGAGAGAAATTTTGGTCACTCCTAATAACTTTCAGTCTATTCTGTACAGCTATGCAAGATACCATGGCACGCTTGGGTCGGCATCTAGAGCAAGAGGCGAATTTTCGTTTATTCTTTAATTTGGCGCATGCAGATTGAGGTTCTTTTGAAGATGCTTATGTATGAAGCCTCCTAGTGGCTCTTTGGAATGCAGCAAAGCTTGCTCGAAGAGAAGAGCCAGTGTAGTGCTCATACGGTATGTTGATCTTCTACCTCACAGTCGGACACATCAATCATTCTATCCTCAAGAGAACTTAACACAATTTAATTGACTTTTACTGCAGCGCAAATGTTCTGCGTAGTTTGCGGTTGGGAAGATGGAAAATAAAGATCCCTGAACAAAACGCTACTTAAAATTTAGTACAAAAGAGAGGCTGATTGCGTCCGTTCGCACAAAACGCGAGATGTGAAGCTTTCAACATCTGAGAAATCCATCGAGTGAAGACCCTCTACATGCCACTCAAAGCGTCAGCAAATTCGGCTTGCTCTGAGGCGGAATTTCTATTTATATATAATAATTATCTCTATAATAATACAGTGAACCCTCGATATCTGAATATGGATGGTTGCTTCCTTCCGCATTCAATTAAAGTGCATATTCAGTTTCCAAGGATGTTTCATATACAGCCCAAATATGTAACAATCCCATAAGTTTTAACCAAAATATTGAGTAATGCGGGTCTGCTTGGCTTGGTTTTCGCGTTCGAGGTGTGTCCATTTTCGATTGCCCAGGAAAACTGGAAATTGAACCACATTTATAATGAATAAAGTTATCATAGCTCAGTTTTGTCTCATAGAATGCTCTTGTATGAGGCCTGTTATGATTAAGATGTGCTTGTGGTATTCAGTTAGGCCGTATTCATGAATACCTCATATGTGACCTGCAATCAACGCTCCGGAGCTCGTTCCGAGCAATGGCATGCACATATCGCGGATATTCACATAACAAGGATTCAGATAGCGAGGGTTCACTGTATATATTAGGTGGTGTTGTTCCCCAATATAAACTAAAAGTAAACGTGAACCCTTTTCGCGAAGAAATGAGAAGCTTTCCAAACATGAAAGTAACAAAGCTGAAGCAACGGCTCCTGCTTGCGTGCTCATCATCTGGCCTTTTGAAGAGACGGCTATCGCTGTCAGTACCCTTTGTACTCTTTTGAAGAGTTGGCGGCGCCCTGGACAGTTTCTTCGCCGTTTATGGTGAACAGTAGATCCGGATCTAATTTGGCTTCATATGACGGGTTTTGACCAATGGAGAAAGCTCCCGTTCGGAGCTGTTTATCAATTTCCTGAGAAATAATTTTGCCCATTACAGGGCGTCGCCGCCCCACCAAGGCCTCCCGAGTATCGGAACGTTGATACACACCGCCGCCCCCACCTCGCCGGTTTCTTTTGATCCTCGCATTATCCCTTGCGACGGTATCCCCGCTTCTCTTCTTCCATCGTTCCTGCTGGTCTCCCCTGAGATGGCGGACACCCCAGAACAAGCGCCCGAGCGCGGGATCGACCAGTCTGATGTCCTCGAAAAGTACAAGGCCGCCGGCGCCATAGCGGATCAGGCCATGGATGTTTTGGGAAAGGCCGCCTATGCTGGGATGGCCGTACGCACAATGTGTCAATTGGGAGACGCGGTGATTACCAAGACAGCGGCTGGCGTGTACTCCAAGGCGCGGACTGACACCGGAGAAAAGCTTGAGAAGGGAGTGTCGTTCCCGACGTGTGTCTGTATCAACAATTGTGCGTCTCATTTTTGTCCGATTGAGACTGACCCGGAAGCCGATACGGTTCTCTCGGGGGGCGACATCATCACGGTTCAGCTCGGGGCTCACATTGATGGATATTCCGCAATGGCGAGCCAGACGCTGGTCGTGAAGGAATCCAAGGAGGCACAAGAGCCTCCCGTGGCAACAGGTCGAAAGGCCGACGTTATCACGGCTGCGTACACTGCTGCTGAGGCGGTGCTGAGACTGATGCGGCCGGGGAAGAGTAACGAGGAAGTAAGTGAGATGATTGGGAGAATTGCGAAGATGTACGGGGTGGAACCGCTGGAGGGGACGCTCAGCCACCAGATGAAGCGGTACGTGATCGATGGATCTAAGGTGATCATGAACAAACAGACGCTCGAAGCTCGCGCGGACAAGTGGGAATTTGAAGCGTATGAGGTGTATAACTTGGACATTGTGATGTCGACGGGCGAGGGCAAAGCGATCGAAAGAAACACGCGCGAAACTGTTTATAAACGACAGGTGGATGTGGATTACAAGTTGAAGCTGAAGACGTCGCGGCAAGTATTCTCGGAAATCAATAAGGCTTACCCCGCGTTGCCGTTCACATTGAGGGCGCTTAGCGACCCGAAGCGTAGCCGGATGGCGATGACGGAAATGGTGAAGCATATGTTGGTAGTTCCGTACCCTGTTTTATACGAAAAGGATGATGCAATCGTGGCGAGATGTTCAGTGACTGTGCTGGTAACGCCCAACCAAACGAGTGTGGTGAATAAGAAGAGTATGCCAGCTGTGGATTGCAAGATCAGTATTGAAGATGAGGAGGTGAAGGCTCTCCTGGCGACGTCCATGGACAAGAAGAAGAAAAAGAAGAAAAAGAAGAAGGCGACGATGGAGGTAGATGGGGAGGCGATGGAAAGTTGAAAAAAGTAAAAATGTAAGGTTGTTGAGTATTATTTGGCGTTACTCACACAGCAAGGCGCTGTATGGTGTTGGGGAAAGATTTAGTTGGTGTGGCAGCGAAAGTAGGGGGTTGCCGAGGGGGCTCTCAAACATGTAGTGGGCAGTGGAGGGCCAAGATGGCATTTAGCGCGGGCGCGCGGGCGTGGGCGCGCATGCACGTGTGTCCTATGAGTGTCATTATTCGAGGTAAATGTTATGTACGTCTGCGTGGGAGGTATAAGACGAAAGACTGGGAATGGGTCGTCGATGGAATGGCACTGTAGTGAAGATTACAGGATGAGACTGTAACAAAGCATCCTTGGGGGCTTACCACGTAATATGTGTTGATGACGCAAGCGAAGGGCACAGAAGGTATGGATAGGGTGAGGGCAACGTAATAAGGCGGGGGCGCACGGGCGGTTATTGACAGCGATGTGGCGTAGCGATGGATGTAATTCGGGATCGGCGGAACGGCGGGGCCGGCGGGCCGACGGGGGAGGGAGGGGGGGAGGGTTCGCGGACCAGGAAAGTTATCTAAATGCGGGGTTATGATACAAGAGGACGGAGTGATCGGACAAAGGTGGTGAGCTCCGAGGTGCAAACATAAGGGAGCACCGAAATGGCGACAAACGCAGGCATGACGGTGTAAATAAAACGGCGTGTACAGTAACCCCTTCACGGGGCTGCGGGCAGTGACATGAGTTGCGACACGGGGTCGGGGCGAGGTCGCTGTACTCCTCCGTACATTGCTGCGGAGTGTGTGCGGGGCGACGGCGGGGGGGGGAGTGGGGACGAGGGAGCGGGCGGCGCGGGGGCTAACAATACGGGACGTTGGGAACGAGAGTCTTGTTACACGAGGGTACTGCATGAGGGCAGCAAGGCTGCGACGTCGGGTCGGAAGGGATATGATGTCATATCAACACGACACGACATCGAGCGGCGGCATGTGAAGAGAAAAGCGGGGCGGGCCTTTGGGGGATTGGCGGGGCGGGCACTGCAGGGGCGCGGTGAGCCGCGTGCGCCAATGGCGGGCGTGCGGGGGCGTGCAC